TACTTCTGGAGCAGGTAGGACTTGAACCCAGGTCTCTTAGCTCAGCGGTACGATCAGTATCACTACACCAAAAGCACCCCAATCCCTGTGCACTGACAATTAATAACTATTCCTTGTTTCATGTTAGCCTTAAATAAAGACATTAACAAACTTAATGTGATTAACCAAACATTAAAAGATTCCCCTTTATTCTTTAACTTCAAACTTTGACAATCTTTCCGTAAATAATCAGACAAATGTGGTTTTTTCATCTACGCCACACATTGACTGTGTTACAATCTTTAACAGATCCTATGTTCTTCATTTTCCACATGCATAAAGTTACAAAGCGATTAACTTAAAAATTATGCAATATTCCATGTTCCCATCATAACACAAGATGTCCCTTGTCAAGGTCATCTAATAATTTCTTAGAGCAAGCATTTCTCCTTGAAAACAGTCTGACAAATGCTGACTTACATTAACCCATTTTATTTTCAAAACCATTTCTCTTTCCAACACTGGCTCCACGCTAGTAGGGTCAATTCCCAACCTTTTCCCTGTAACACCTACTGCCAAAAGAACATTGCCACAAAGAGAATGATTATCTATGCATTATAACTGTACATAGGTTTCTTTTTCTCAGATTTCCCTTGTAATAAGGTTTCTTTCAGAATACTGGATAAGTAAACCCCCACATCTATTGTTTCCACAAGTGCCAGTGTCTATTTTCTTGGCCACCCCGGCAAATACATAACATTTATTACTCTTTAACACCAAAAATATAACAAATGCTACAATAGTAGAATATCCAGCTGGCGGAATGGTATGTGAAATATTACTGAAAATAACTAACTTCATTACAAAATAGTATTTCTCTTCACTTCTAAAATGCCTGCCGATCAAAGTCCAGGTAGTCCGGGGATCATTTTTCTGTTATGGTTCCCCAATTCCAAGCTGTTGTCTCATTCCTGTTCATTCTGATTCTCCTTTTGTGTTGACACTTTTAACCTCTGTCTGGGAAGTCTTGCGTTGCCGCCATTATAGGGCCCTCCATTCTTTGTGTTGATTCTCAATATCCTATTTGAGCCACAAAGCCTGCTAGAAATTATCTTTTTTTGCAGAAATTTTTAAGACTTCTGACCAATATTCCCTGTAATTTTTCTGCCACTGCATAGCCCTCCAAGGTCCAAGCAGCTTCTGAAGTTGAAGGCATTTATCAACATGTCATTTGACGTTTGTGGAGCTTCCCAGCAGCCATGAAGCTTAGAGAGAATGTTGCTTCTGACAGGTTCCTAATATATGTTAATAATAATAATGATAAAATAGAAACAATTATTTGGGATAGGATTATGGAAAAAAATAGAGATTGATTTGAAAGAGTTGGTCAGCATAGAATTTTTAAATTCAAGATTGAGTCTAACTAACTTGCTGGAATTTTTGAAGAGGGTTGATGAGGGGAAGGGTATTATTGTGGCTTACATGGACTTTCAAAAGACATTTGAGACAGTGTCACACAACAGATTTGTGAGGAACATTACAGCTCGTGGAATAAAAGGGATAGTACTAGTGGGGGTACAAAATGGCTTTGTGTGGTAGGAGCCCAACAGTACTGCTTAATGGGTAGTTTTCAGCATGGAAGTAAGTTCATAGTAGCATTCCCCAGGGAACATTGCTTTTGAAAATACAAGAAATGGGTGAATCACACAAGCCAGCTCAGCCATTCGATATGATCATAATTGATCTTCAGCTTCCATTTTCCCATTCAGTCCCTGAATGTTTTGATTCTCTGAGAGATATATTACCTGTTAAACTCAGCCTCAGATGTATTCAAGCAAAAGCATCCACACCTTCTGAGGGTTCCAAAGATTCACAACATTCTGAGTGAATAAATTTCTCATCTCAGTTCTAAATTAGTAGCTTTTTTTCCTTTAAGAAGAAGATAGTTTTGGCCTTTGGAGGCCAATCAACTCATCCCAGAACATTTCTGGAGTTTGTCAGGATAGCTATCTTCTAATCAAGCTGTTCAGGGATGTTATAGAGAGACTCCCTAATTCCTCAGGATAGCATCCTAGGCTTGACTATCTTCAGCTGCTTCATTAATATTTTTCTTCTCAATGTAAGGTCAGAAGCAAAGTTGTTTCCTAATGATTGCTCATTTTATAATGCTGCTCACAACTCCTCAAATGCTGAAACAATCCATGCAGCAGGACCTGGACAACTTTCAGACCTGGGCTGATATGCACCACCTTGTCTTGAAATAACATTAACACAGAATCACAAAATTGTTACGGATCAAAGGAAGCCATTTGGTCCAATGTGCCTGGACTGAGTCTATTACCCAGTGTCAATCTCCTGCCTTTCCCTATATCCCTGCATACCATTTCTATCCAAATAACCATCCAAAGCCCTCTTGAATGCCTTAATTGAACCAACCTCCACTGCATTTCAAGGCAGTGCATTCCATTTTCTAACCACTCACTGTGAGAAAAAGTTTTTCTCACATAACCCTTGCTTTCTTAAATTGCCCTCCATCATTGCATCCCCCATTATTGACATCCTGGACCAGCCATTGACCAGAAACTTAATTAGACCAGTCATATACACACTGTTGGCTGTAAAGGAGTTTTATACTGTCTGGAATTTATAAAAATGAGGCATAATTGCATTCAATATATAAGATTCATAAATGGCTTGACAGGGTGGAAACAGAAAGGTTGTTTCCCTTGACTGAGTAATGCAGTACATTGTCACATGGTGGTAACAGTGTGTGCCACCTACAAGATACACTGCGACAAATAACACTGCCCAAACTCAATCTTCATCACCTGGAAAGCAAAGATTAGCATGTGCATGAAAAAACCACCATGTGCAATTTTCCCTTTGAGTCATATAACATGTGAATTGGAAGTAAATTGCTGTTCTTTCAGTCCTGCTGGGTCAAAATGCTTCCTAACAATGCCTGCTCCAGAGGGCATACAGAATTCAGTAATGTAGATGACCACCACCTTCTCAAGAATAACAAGAATGGGCAATAAATGCTAGTATTACTTGTAATGATTACATCTCATCAACAGCACAAAGGGATGGATCAGAGTTTCAAAAGCAGGTGTGATGAAGCGGGACTAAAGTCAGCAGAAATAGCTCAGAAGTGGTGAGCTTATTTCAGGGTCAAATACGTTACCAAGATTGTGAGCTTTTGAGTTATAGGGAAAGGATGAATAAGCTGGAGTTATTTTCCCTGCAGCGTTGGAGGCTGAGGGGTGACCTTATAGATGTTCATAAACTAAAGGGGCAAGGATAGGGTAAATAGACAAGATCTCTTCCCCAGGGTAGGAGAAGTCCAAAACTAGAGGGCCTAGGTTTAAGGTGAGGGGGTAAAAGATTTAAAATGAACCTAAGGGACAACATTTTCACACAGAGGATGGTGCGTGTATGAAATGAGCTGCCAGAGGTGATGATGGAGGCTGGAACAACAACCACATTTAAAAGGCATCTGGATGGGTATATGAATAAGAAGGGTTTAGAGGGACATGGGCCAAGTGCTGGCAAATAGGACTAGATTTATCTGGGATACTGGTCGGTATCCTAGACCAAAGGGTCTGTTTCCATGCTTTACATCTCTAGGACTATGATTTGTCAGGTTCAGCGATGAAATCAGTGGCTGGAGAACTGAATTTGGAGCATGAAACAATTAAAGTGGCTTTGATTTTCCCAATGCTTAATTAGAAAAAAATTCTGCTCATGCAGTAGTGGCTGTCTGTAAACGCAGGTGAAGAGTTAAGGAAGATGGTTGTGTGATAGAGCTGGATGTTGTCAATGTATAAGTGAAAACTAACGGTGTGTTGTGAGGCCAGGGGAAGCAGCTGAGACAACTGATCAAATGTCTCAATCTTAGCGACTATCAAAGCTCCTTGCCTTTGCGTTTAGACATGAAGGAGGAAGACACAGAGAAAGGAGTTTAGGAATATAGTTGTAGAAAATAAGTGGGGCTATCTTTTCATTCCTTGATGGCCCCAGTATAGTATAGTGAACTGTTGAAGCAGAGAACAGTGGGACCTGATGATGCTTCACAAACTCCATTCTGTCACAATAAAAGACAGAAAAGGCAGTGAGTCTCCAAACCCAGTTCAAGTACATTGGGATAACAAGGTGCAGAGCTGGATGAACACAGCAGGCCAAGCAGCATCATAGGTGCAGGAAGGCTGACGTTTCGGGCCTAGACCCTTCATCAGTACATTGGTCCAAATTCTGCAGTGAGCAGAAGCTACACAACTGAGGTTTTCAAAGTGCAGTTACCCTTTGCAAGCACTGAGTGCCAAACCGTGGTATGGGCTAAGGTATTGTATAAGGAGAGATGCTGATGTGTCTGAACCTGGTTTGACGTTAGGACTCTCTGCAGCTTATATGGCATTCTTTAAATTGTGGAGATCCAAGTTGCCTGAATCCCATTTGAGGCCTGGGACTATGGAACAAGTTCCTCAGGCCCATACCCAGCCCTCAGCCCAGACCCATCCCAGGCCACCGACCCCAGACTCGGGCCTCAGCCCTCAGCCCATGGCCCACTCCCAGGTTTAGGCAGAGTCCCCGGGCCTGATCGCAATCCTAATCCCGAGCCCCCGCCCCGGGCTCAATTCGGAATCCCAGCCGTAGCCCCAGGTTCAGGCTCAGGCTGGGGCCTAGGCCCAGGGCCTACCCGCACTCCCTCAGCCTGCCGCCAGGGGCACTTCGAGAAACCCCGTCGGTGCGGAGCGCTCGCAACATCCCCTCCCCCACCGTGTCCATCCGCCTGGAGAAAGTAGTGCGAGTACCCTTTATGAAGGAGAGGCGAACGGGCCCGGGGTGGTAAAGGCGGAAGGCACGACGGCGGGGAGAGTGTCTGGACGGAGCTGCTGTTGACGGTCAGGAGTCGGCGTTACCAGAGGGTGTGTGAGGCGGACGGGGGAGCCCCGCTGCCCCTGTAGGTGGGGGGAGGGCAGAGAGCGGGGACCGGAAGTAGCTGGGTGGGCAGGGTATAAATAGGCGCGACCCGCGGCGAGCGCTTCCTTTCGGTGAGGAGGCGGCGGCGGGTACAGAAGATGTCGTGTGGCTCTGCGGATTACAGGTGAGGCCTGGGGCCTACAGGAGGAGGTGGGATGGGACGAAGATTGAGAATAATAAACCCGATCACCCCCGGCTCTGGGGCCTAGGCCGGTCGGGAGCGGATTCCCGCTATTAAACTCCATCTCCCTTGGACCGGGGGCTTGGGGGAGGACAGTGTCGTCGTCGCTGCCGCTGGGGGAAGGGGAGCTGCCACCGCCGCCGCCGTCGAGTAGTGCCCGGTATCCACACGATCCTTTCCCTGCCGGTTCCCCACTGGTCTTTGTTGTCTTGTTTATGAGGGGGTGGGGGCGGATGGAGTGGTTGATGTTCTTGTCTCCCTTCCCCTCCCCCCCCCCC